TAAACATAATTAAGTTTCCTGATCCATTTACAAACAGTACTAACAGGCTCTTTTCTTTCAATCTAAATCAAATCCATTGCAGACATTACATATACAATTTGACAATGTTCTCCAATGGTATTGGGGTGCTGAGTGCTTTCATAACACATTAAAGATTTACCCACCTTGACATAGGCAAATAATTTTTCTCCTGATTCTTTGTGAACCATGTGATGATAGCTATATCACTGGACTCAAAAGATTAAGATTTATCATTACAGCATCTGTACATTAAGCATACATCTGAGTCAAAGTAGATTTACTTCATATGTTCTCACCTGGTGTGTGAAGAGTTGGCACCTCTGCATCACATTGCATTAAACAGCTTTGGGGATCCATTGACTTTCCAAATCCCATTTTATCATTCAGGAACACCACATATTCATCCTCCTCCTCATTATCCTCATCACTCCAGTCCAGGTAGTGTGCTGGGGAGGTGTCCTTCACAATCTGGGCCAGCTCAATCCCCTGTTGCTCCAGGAACTTGTGGAAATCAGCCTCACAGGGCAGCGGGCTGGCCAGCTTAACTGTCAATCATTTTAAAGGCATCCAATGAAATTTCTGGGCAGCAAAACTGGATTTCATTTCGAAAGGCAACTCTCTGGTCATTTTTTTAATGTGGTAAGTTGAATCAATCCTATCCCATTGCAATACTACTATCTTTGAAGCAAAATTCAAAATGTGTCTAATGGAAAATGGCTGCTTGTTTTGTATCATATGCTGGTTCTAGCTATTTATTGGTGGCACCCAAAAGTTGAAGACACGCCCCATGTAGCTTGTTTTGAGGCTATATCAAATTCTTCAAGTGATGAAATGATGACAAAAATGTGCTTAGAAATGGTAGTAAATGCCACTATCGGACAGATTTCCACATCCAAAATATTTTTTTTTTATTTTGCTGCCCTGAAATTGCATTGGATGCTTTTAAACATACAGAAACAGTGGATGAAGTGAACCAAGAGGGATGGTGTTTGGGGAAGGGGGGGGGGGTCAGATTTTTTAACTAATCATTGCAAGGATAGCAGCTAATAAATATTGTTTTCAATATCTGGTGCTGTACATTTTGTCATTTTTGTTAACCCATAAATACAAGGGAACTGACATTCACAAACTTCACCACTCCTGTAACTTACATGCTGTCTCCTTTGAACATGCCTTTCCTCTGGAAGTGGACATCCTCTCTCCACAGGTGTGGTACATGGATTTTGTCCTTTGTAAGGATGCCCTGTCCATACTGACAGACACCACTGCCTTCATCCTGGACAGCTTGGCTGCCTTCGGGACCTCAGACGTGGCTGTGGAAGTGATGACTCGACGACATCCAACAGGCAACTCACTCCAGATCGCCTGAAGGATGGACCATGTATAAAAGTAGGGAAGGAAACAATTTTCAATTCTTTTCTACTTGTGTAGTACCAGAAGCAGCATTCTACATACGTTTAAGCCTTGAATAGTTTCATCAGGTTGGTAAGTCACTGAATTAGAATTAGAGACTCTTTTTACACAACCGAAAGGTTTATTCAGCGGAAGTGACAGTCTGTCACCTTCCTCAAGGAAAATTTGACTGGTTCACATTGCACAGCACAGGTGTTGAAGCAATAGATGTATTCCCAAATGCAAAACACTCCTGTACGTTTGGGACTGTACTGTATATACTGTTCCCTGAAACCACGTAAAGATGTAAATATTTTGCATTTGGGAACGCATCTATTGCAGCAACATCTGAGCTGTGCAATGTCAGATTTGCCCTGAGGAATGTAACAGATGGTCACCAAAATGTCGGCTGAATAAACCTCTTGGTTGTGTAAAAAGAGTTCTTTTTATTCAGTTTTAACCTTCAGTTTTTAAGAATTTCAACATAAAATACAAGTATAATGCTTTATAATCGGTGTACAGGAAACACATTTGCCATATCGCATGCATTGTTACAATATCAAGTGTCACGCAATACAATTCCTCTACTTTAACAAATTTACTTGATGCATATCCTAGCCCACCTGTATAGTGGTGGACATCTGCATGCTGTGCAGGTGCTGGGTGGGCAGCAGCAGCTGTTCCTGCAGCTGGTTCACCATGTGCTCATAGAACAACAGGTACCTGTGACACAAAGAGAGAGGAGTTTTTACTATCAGAAACAGTAATGAGTTCAAGCTCACAGGTAGTTAACTTTTCTTATTTTCTTATTTTTAAACATATTTGACGCAAGCAGATGGCAGTTCAGCACCAAGGGCAAAACCAATAAATAAAGAATTTGTGATTCCTTATCAATATTGTTCAGAATCCCTATTTTTACAATAAAAGTAGTGAGTTGAGAGAAAAAAGATATGATAACAACATTCAATTTGGTAAGTATGAAATTAGAGCTTCATGAATGGATGCTACAACATACCCTTCAAATTCCTTGTAGGACCTGACAGGATCAGGACTCGAGAAAGCTGCAGGCCTCACAAACATCTTGGGCGTGGAAGTGACAAACTGGTGATTCAATGGGACTGTCTTGGGACTGGTGGCATCTTCACTTGCTGGTGATACACTAGGCTTTGTCTCAGCAACTTCAGAACAGTTCTGTTCAATTGTGCATGGGCCTGCTGACATGTTTGTATTTTTGGCTATGTCCGACGTAGTGGTTTCCTGCGATGTACTGGTTGGTTCTGTTGGCTGAAGATTTGCTGCATGATTCAGGATCTTTGGACCCTGCTTCTCAGAGCTGTGGGATCTTACTTCATTGTTGTACCCATCTTGGTTTGGCATTGGACAACTGTAGTAATGAATTGTATACAACCACATTTTCAAAGTTCCTTAAATCAAAATCCATCAGCTGTCTGAAATGCATTTGAACATTCGCCTGCTACCAAGTACAGAAATAGCCAATATTGTGAAATAGTCAATTCATGCATTGCAGCATACTAGTACGTTATCCAAGGTCCTGTCTGCCTATTGATATATACTGTTCTTACCATTGCAATTTATGTATAAAAAGAAAAGTAACGAACCTTAGATGAGGAGGATTGTCAACCCCCTCATCCACCAAATGGACCAATCTAGTTGAGGTACTTGTCATGGGGTGTACTTTGGAAGAGGCTAACTGTGGGGAGGGACTTTCTGTCACTGACAGGCAAGTTGAAAGTTCAGCAACACTGACCAACTTCTTCTTCCTCTGGTACACTCTCTTTTTTGTCTTCTTTTCCCTGCTGAGTATAGATGCAGTATAGATTATGCAGAGGGTGTTTTTGAAGTACGGTATCACACAAGGCCATGTTGACTTGATTATATGGATCACATCCATGCATGCATGAATTTTCCTCCTTTTCCAGAAAAAAACTTTCCGACCATACCATAATTCATACAAAGCAGCTGAAAAAGGCGCAAATATATGCCATACATCGCAAAAGAAATATTGGAAAACAATAAGAAGAAAATGTGAAGAAATAAAAATGAGTCTATTATTTGCCATATCATATGTGTGTTTAGTCATTTGTTCAACCTCCATGACGTAAAAAAAATGGCCTAATCTGAAGCTTATCAAATAGTGTGTAAAATGAAACCATGTGAAAGACATTGTGAATCCTTAAAATACATACAAAATATTGTTATGAGTATGTCTCTGTCACTGTTTAAAATCTATTTACCTCTGTGAGTGAATGGCTTCACTGTGGAGAAATTGTTCTCTAAACTGCCTTCTGACCATGTACAGTGTCTTACTGTATCCAGTCTTGTCTCCAAACTTGTATGCTAGAAAAAGAAAAAAAATATTCTGTTTCAGTAAGACAAAACTATTTACCAGACTTATACAGCATTCAATCATCCAAGTTAACTTGATATGCCGCGTTTCTATGTATGCATGTAACGTGTGCACTTATGTTTGTGTAAGCCACATGCTGGGAAATGTTTCAGTACTAAGTGGAATGTTTGAATGATTCGTGCTTCACCAACATTTCCACACATTTTCTGTTTGTCCCTTCATTTAGAATTGAACCAAACAAGGAACATTTGATAAATTCTGCTGTGAACGTTTTTCCTCACCTCTGAGCTTCAAGATTTTGTCCAGTGTCTCCTCCAGTTTGTTGATGTGACTCACAGCTGCCCGTACTATTTTGGTTTGCTGACGGGTAAAATACACGTAACATTGCTATGACAAATCTTCATGCCATATTTACTATATTCAAGGGGTTATGAATGAATTCAGAATTATTATGATAAACTTGAGGATATCTATCTGATTTAATATCACATCATAATGCAAGAGTTCGGTTTGTATAACTTCAAAATACTGTTAGAACTTACCCTAGATATTTCTTTGACTCCGTGGTAGTCGTAAGAGCTGGGGAGAACCTTCTGCAGTTGTTTGTAGCTGGCGGCCACACTGGCGCGGTGCTTGGCGTCCGACATCCGCCGCCGCTGCTTCTGCTGTCTCGGCGACAACCCGATTGCAGGCATGCCGAAGAGCTACTGATGCAGATTCCAACAAAACCTTTCAAGCTCTCAGGAAAAAGGCAACGTGAATCTATGGTCTAAAATACCCTCCACAAATCGCTGGTCAAATGTTCTTTTCAGAACACCTTCCACAACTCTTGACAGAAATGAAAACGTCGTCTGCAATATCAAGTTGCAGTATGACGGGCTCTGATTGGCCAGAAGTCTGCTCATTTGCATGCTGTAGTGCCACCTGTTGTGCATCCATCGATGTAAACCTCTAAGGGGGTCCAGGAAAAGACGGTAAAATACACAACGACCATACACAGAGTGATTTTGTCTTGTGTCTTTCGTGTGCTCCTCAGCCCATGTTATGTGGTGGAACGTAACGTTAGAAGGCATACTGTCATTTCTAAGAGCATCCCAGACCCCAGTTCTACCCTTCTATTTCTCGTCAACTGTCATATGACGTTACCAGCAATCCTTTTCATCTGTCTGCATGAAAAGAAAACAAACTTTTATTTTCAAAGTTTTACTTTTCCACCAATCAGGTCCTTGCTACCACCTGTTAACGTGTGGGGGTTACTTCAGGTCATTCACCTACCGGCCAACATGGCGGCGTGCAGGCTCCTGACACGGGACAGTGCAGCTCAGCTTCTATCCAACATTGACACGGTTCTGACGGACTGTGACGGTAAGGCAGTAGCTCATGAAGCATTTCTACAGATGTAGGGTACAGACATGTGTACACCGTGCCCAGTGTAAACGCAAACTTCTGTAGGAACCTGGCTTATATCTTCAACCTTTGAATGCGGAAGTGATGATGTAACATCCTTATACTAGAGTAACGTTACAAAGTTTAAGAGGGCAAACTAGGAGACATACTGTAGTAAAAGACAGTGCTTGATTTTAAGAAACCTGGAGGCTTTTTTTCCAGTACTGACTTCAAATTTCCCTATCCTTGCTAAGTTGTGTTGTGAAGGAGGTAGGGGCAAAAACTGAAAAATTGTGTGCCCCCCTCCCCCATACTTTATGTGAAAGCACACATTGTAATAGTTCCTAATGCACAAGTACAATTCAGATTGATGCTGAGTTTTGCTGACATTGCTACTAGTCCTTGGATTCCACAAAAACGCAGTTTGCCTATCATCATGGCTTGAAACAGATGGCAGCAGCAGCAACAAGTTTTGCAATGTTTTAACACAACATTTTACCATCCAATAATTTAGGTGTATTGTGGCAGGGGACAGAAGCCCTTCCTGGTGCTGCAAAAACTATTGCCAAACTCAGGGAAATGGTGAGTGTTCTGCAGATATCTTTGCGAAAAGATTTTATGACACGTTGCTTTCCTGTTAGTAACTCACATTGAATTTTTTTCATGAATTTTTCTACGGTAAGATGTTTCCTGCATACACAGTTTCTTTAATATCTGTGTTCTATTTAACTTTTGCAGGGGAAACGCATCTTCTTTGTCACAAACAACAGTACCAAGTCTCGTCTGTCTTACGTGGAGAAGTTAAAAAACCTGGGGTTTGAAGCTAATGAGGTAAGACTATCATTTTGTTATCATGCAAATCTACATGGCATCTGTGTTATTCTTTCAGTTTTTTTCTTTCAGTTGTCTCACAAGTCTATCATCTTACACACAATTTGTATACGTCAATGTTTCAGGAAGAAGTGTATGGCACTGCTTACATTGCTGCTCTGTACCTGAAGAACATTGCTAAGGTGACAGGGAAGGTTTACATGGTAGGAAACAAGGAGATGGCAAAGGAACTGGACTTACAAGGGATCTCTTACACTGGGGTTGGAGTAAGTACATTACATTTCTTTTCTGTTCCCTTTCCCAAAATCTACATGTCAGTGAATGGAATGACTAAAACTAAAAGATTCACTCTATATTTATAATGCAACCGTGCAAGAAAAGGGTGCCAGTAATAGCGACCTGAGCACTTTTGGCTGCTAAATAATAGATGTCTGTATAGCAAGGACTTAAATGGCCTTACAGTAAAAACTAGTAGTATTGTATTGATTTACCTTTTTCTCTTTATCTACAAACTTTCAGCCAGATCCAATAGAAGGAACTGTTACTGATTGGAAGACTTTGCCATTGGACCCAGAGGTGAGTGACACCTGTCAACAAATGGCTCACAGGCTTTCATACATAAAATCTTAATACAATGTTATCATTTCCTCTTTTCATCTGGCCTGGGTGCCATCCTCGACAGTTGATGTCTCTCTTTTGTCGCTGGCTCTGTGGTAGGATTTGGAGCTATCATAGGATGCCCAGGCCTGTTTTGATTTTTTTTCACCCTGTCACTTCATATTTTTCTGAAAAAAAATCTGAGAACCAACACAAATCAAATTGGTATGCCCTAACTATGGAGGATGGCATCCAGCAGGTTACTTCTCAACAACCATGTGTGTCCCTGATCATTATGATATTCAGTTAAGTCTTTCCTTTCTTCCGCAGGTGACGACAGTACTGGTTGGTTTTGATGAACACCTGAGTTACATGAAGATGATCAAAGCTGCCAGTTACCTGAGCAATGAGAATGTCCAGTTTGTAGCCACCAACACGGATGAAAGGCTGCCTGTGGGAAATGGACGAGTCATCCCTGGTAAGCAGACCTCTGTCTTTTCTATGAAATCAAAACATATCGATAGTAAAAAGATATGTTTTTACTAACCAATTGCCCAGGCTGTGTCTACATGTATGAGCCACAGATAGGCCACAGAAGGATCTGCTTGGAGATTAACATCTGAACATCCTTCTTAGAGATTTGTTAGACAGCTCTTTTCTGTCTGAGGGCTATTAACAGTGTAAGGCCTTCTTTCATAACATTTGGTAAAAATTATTTCTGACCAAAAGACCAAGATACTGCTAGATGGGATACGCAATCATTAGGTAAGTGATAAATTGGATGATTATGAACATTACGATTGTCACCTTTCACTTGTTCACTCTTGTATATATATATATATATAGTGTATTGAGATAATAATGTTACTTCCCAATAAGTTCATGTCACAATTATTGCTCTGTTGTCCACCAGGTACTGGTTGTATTCTGGCTGCTGTCCATACCGCTGCAGATAGAGACCCGGTCATTCTGGGAAAACCATCAAAGTTCATGTTCGAAGTCATAAAAGAAAGGTTGGTGTGTGTAGATAGATTAAACCAACATCGTATCTTTAACAATGCCTGTCTCTTTGAAATGTGCCCAGTGCTTGTGGGTCCAAATTTGGCTTCTCTCAAGGTATACCTTTTTCACCAGCAGTCATGTATGACACAATGTATTCCTTGTATTACAATTTCATTTTGTCCCCTTCACGCATTTCCTGTTCTTGTACTTCAGGCATGACCTTGATCCCAACCGTACCATGATGATTGGAGACAAGTAAGGAACTTCATGTTTTTTTCAAACTTTGCTAAAACATAGCAACAGCAATCACCTTAGACTAAGATGAATGAGAAACTAAAATGCAAATATTATGTACCAAATGTCTTATTGGTTATCACAGTCCAATTTGAAGGTAACAATGATAATATAACTGTTTTACCTTTCTTCTAGATATGTTTGTATGAAATTAGCTGTAATATTTTGTGAAGTTTCACAGCGAATCACCAACACCTTTTTAACCTTCTACCTGCTACCTACCACCACAACCAATAGAAATTTGTTAGATTAAGGACTACTTTAGTGTACTAAAGGTTAAATGACAATTCCTCTCCCCTAGGTTGACTACAGACATCATGTTGGGTCACAACTGTGGGCTGACCACACTCCTGGTGTTGTCTGGGGTCACTTCACTGGAGGAGGCACGTCAGATGCAGGCCAGCAACAGTATAGAACATCAGAAATGTGTGCCACACTACTACCTGAACAATATGGGCGAACTGGGCGACATATTATAGCAAAAAAAAGTACTGCTGTCATGAAGGTTCATCTGTGTTGGTAGTTACATTTTTAAGTTAAAACTTTTGTTCAAACACAAGATATTGTTCTCACCTACGGCTTTCGATCAGTCACTCTGGTCTTCTTCTGTAGACTTCAACAGAATTCACAGTGGAAAAATACTGTATAAACTAGAAAGGCCAATATTTGCTTTGGAGCAAATACAGCGATGGGTTCACCACATTTTACGACATGGCAGGGAAAGAATAAGAAACACAAGGGAAAACAATGATTTACATTGATATAACTATAATATGAAGTAAAATACAACTAAAACAACAGTTGGATAGCTATTCCCTACTTTATTGGTTAGGATTTTTAATTGCATAATGCAAACTGTTGATTTTCAAAATAAAAAAAACGTCCATGCCCCGCATTCCAATGCTGGAGCAGGAAAGCTTGAAATACCTACCAAAACACTTGAATACAGACATACTGTCAGTATGGAAATGCTCTGTGCAGGTGTTAATCAAGTTAAATCCCAACAGCCAATCAGCAAGAAATGCTCTGTGCAGGTGGAAATGCTCTGTGCAGGTGTTAATCAAGTTAAATCCCAACAGCCAATCAGCAAGAAGTATAGAGGAAAGCTGCATGCCTATTGGTTGATGCCCTGCATTCCATTGTGATGACTCATGCCCAAACGTGGTAAACAAGGCACACTAACACAGTAATACATTTGCTATAACACAGCCAAAAAACTCAAATAAAACCATTCTAAAAGCCTGTATCACAATAATTTAAAAACGCCTAGGGGTATTTGCCCACTGTACCTCCATACCAAATTTCAGGACCTTGGGCCCTAAAATGAAGAAGCTGAATCCATTTAAAAAATGGCAGGAGGAGAAGGAGGAGAAGAAACATCAGAAAAAGCAATATGGGTTCACCACCACTTCGTGGTGTGGTGAACCCATAAATATATTCCAATGTTTATGATACTGATAAAATAGAGGTGCAGCAAGCAAGAAGATAATTTTGTAATGAAGATTTATTTTTCACAGAAATACCGGAGTAGATTTACATGATACATATATTCCTTTTTATGTGCAGCAAAGGGTTCCATACTTGTATGATAACTAATTCAATTATGACTGAATCATTACTTCATTGTATGAGAATCAATGTATAACAGATAACATTTAGAGTTTCACAATTATTTGATTGAGTGCAATTTATCATTGTCACGTGTACTACAAAATAACTTTTTTTAATATTTATATACATCGTAATGATAGTCCTAAATAAAGCATGCACTTTTTAAACGTTTCAAAATCCAGAGGGTGTCTCAAACCGTCGCCAAAGTCGTGGTGCGCACTTTATTTGAGGTTTTCTCCCAACAAATCCGACGACGACGGCACGGGGAGCTTGGAACGACATCGATTCATCCATAAGACCATAACACGTTTAGATAAGATTGTTAACGAGTGGAAATAAAGTTAAACTTCAATAAATTACCATATTCGTTTGTGTATCGTCGATATTTACCTCAGTGGAACCTCGAAAAGAAATAAGTACATACTAGTATATAGTAATAGGGTTTGTGAGTGGTAAGATTGAAACGGTCCGCAAACAGTGAACGTAACGTAACGTAGCGTAATATAACAATATTTGGGCACACGTTTGTTTTATTTCTTTTTTTTGTATTATCTTTATATATACTAGTATATTGTCTTTTATACAAATATCAGGTTCCTGTTCCATCTAACAAAAACGACTCCTGTTCTGCTGAGGTACAGGTGTGGTTGTATCCATCAACAAAGATAGCATAACACTTTTTTGACCCGCTGAAAGTTATGAATTCACTAGCTGCCGAAAATCCGACTTCAAACGTTGAGCGGCAAAACCGACATTCTGGCGGCGGCCGGCGCGGCCCTTCCTGCGCTGTTTTGACCTAGGTGTTCTAGAACAGGGGGCAGGGCTCACGGTGTTCGACCGGATTGGTCCATAGCGACAATCAACAATGCGGTTCTAGAACGTCACAAACCAGTCGATTCGACGTTACCGTTGCGAACGGCAGTGTTTGTTTCTTCCTGCGCGAAAATTTGTCATTTTCAGCGAGAGAATGAGAAACCCCAAAGGATAACGATGATTGGGCTATTGAGATACATGCTCCACGTCTACCTGTTCCTCGTCGGAGCACACTTGTTCAACCGCTCGTGGGACTATGCGCTGGACAAGCAGTGGGTCCCTCGCGATGGCCTGGTGGTCAAGTATCTGAGTGATTTCAGTGAGTTCGAGACAACACCTGAGCAGCTCATCTACCCGGTAAGGACTATCATCAGGGAACAAGAAATGTTTTCAATCGAGTTTATCCGTATTTCGGAGGGGGATTTAATGTTTTGTTGTTATGATTGCATTACTTGATAGAAAACTTTGATTGTGGCATGACTACTTGTGTAAGTAGTGAATACGAGACAACACCTGAGCAGCTGCCTGTACCCGGTAAGGACTATCATCAGGGAACAAGAAATATTTTCAGCCGAGTTTATCTGTACTATTTCGGAGGGGTATAGGGATATGCCTTAGTATAGCGATGACTGCATTACTTGATAGAAAACAGTACGTACGTTGAAAGCTTGATATTGTGGTGTGACTACTTTCCTGCCGTAAGCCATCATATATTTCGATCTTACATTCAAACCATATGGCTGAGGCCGTATGATCGACTATTTAATGTTTATGTATAGTCTTAATCTTTCATTAAGGACAGTGTAAGTATATATCCACATGTACTCAAGACTGGTGATACTTTTCTGATCAAGCATCTAACCACTGAAGTAGCGTGGTGATTCTCGTCTCATCATGTCACCAGAGTAGCTCAATATGATGTTACATTAACGTGAAAAAATACCGTTAAAAACGTAACATTGTCACTGAGTCTCGTCTCGACAGTTTCCTACTCAGTGTGATTATGTCTACATGTACTCAGGCATCTCACCAGAGTAGGCACCTCAACATCATGTTACACGTACGTGAAAAGAATTATGTCAAATTGATTCTCGTCTTGACATTTTCTACTCAGTTTTCTCGCTGTGTTTGTTCTTCACCATGTCTTTATTATATACGTCTATCAACACAGGTAGCGAATGCGGAGATATTTGTGCGTGCTTACGTACGTCCCGCCAATGAAACCCACTACAGCCGCCTGACTCAATGCGAGCTGTACAAAGGTGTCCACAGGGACACTATGGTGAGGAGGCTGACGTCTGGGGGGAAAGACCCAGGACGGGTTAACATAGAGGCTGCACGATATTCATGGTTAGGGTTTTTTCCGATCTCTTACATTTTCTACACATTTTCCTTTGTTTAGCCTTGGCTCAAGTTAGTTCAGCAATCCTCACCAAAGTTGGTCCTTTGCGTCCTTCTATCTTTCATGTTAGTTTCTCCTTGCATTTTAATTAATCCTTTAACTCTTTAGGTGCAGCTGCGCCTTTTCTAAAAACCGTTATTATACAGATAGTATACATCAGTTTCATCTTATACATTAAATCAGGATGCTAAACGTTGAATATACTTGAATGTCTTTGTTGGTCTCCAATACATAGTTGCGTATCTAAACATCGTGCTACAGCAACACTGGTGGTCGTTCGGCACGGTGTAGGGAGCTGCTGTTTTGAGAACGTACAGTTCCACACTCTGCACGGAATCCTACCTTTTAAGCATATCGTAAAGCATACGAGTGAAGAAACTCAACCTTCATGCATGCTTTAAAATAGGCATAAAGAATGGATTTTGTGCAGCGACAGCATTTCCAGAGATCCCAAGTCTTATCGAAGCGAACTCTTTCTCCCGTAGGAGGTTTTTCTACCTCGTCCGGTCCTGTTTCCGCCTGAGACAGCCGAGTGAGGACTTCGACGTGCCGCCAGAGGAGCCGCCGCCTCCCTACATCCCCATCACCTGGCTTCAGCTGGCCAGGAATATCCGTGATTGGACCACGGACTACCTGCGAGAGGCTTCCTCTGAGGATCCGACTGGTGAGGGGAAACGTTATTCTTAATCCTTACCCATTCAAACTTTTGAAAATAACTGTCTCTACACAACACATCATGAACTGGTACCATGTGACCCACAACCGTGCTCTTGAGTGTGCTTTTGTGCGTACGGAAAACACGAGTCACACGTGAGTAATCTACAAGCAGGTTTTCCTCCGCAGATTCTTACACCGGACCAGGACCTTGCCCAAAGAAATGGAGCGAGTTCTTCCAAGAAACCTACAAAAGTATGACGGCATGGATCTCATCGGACGATGAGAATGAACTTGGTTAGTACACAACTTTATTGTCACAACTTTTTGTACAGGTTATATATTGGCCTACCAATGATTTCATTGAACAAGTAGTATTGTCTCCAAATCTTGTGTTTTCTCTTCAACTTTGGCCTTGCTTTGTCAGACGTTTGAAGTATTCATGCCTTTGATTTAAACCAAGGGTGATGGAAGCTCCTTGCTCAAACTCAAACAGAATGATTCTGATGTCTGTGAGAGTTCTCAAAATTATACGTCTACGCAGTGGTTACAAGTTTGTTGGGTCGGATGACACGTTCTGCCCGTTTATTCCTGCTCTATATGTTACCATGGTTACCACAGACGCCGCCAACGCCCCGCCCCGCCCAGCCACCAACACAGACCCCCCTGAGGTCACGTGGTCCCACCTGTGGGGTGAGATATGCAAGAAGGCGTCCTCTGACGTCAGAGCTATCTTCTGGTCAGACACACCTGATGACGTAGTGACACAAGATGAAGCACCCAAGACTGGTACGTATTCGAACACAGAAGCCATTCTAACCACGTATCAAAGCCGATAGTTACCTTCGCCAAGAAGGTTATGTTTACCGTAGCGTTTGTGCGTGCGTGCGCTCGCGCGTGTGTGTGCGTTTGTATGTGTGTGTTTGTGTGGTTTAATTTAGCACGATACCTCAAGAAGCTTTACTTAGATTGATGTGAAACTTGGTAGGTGGGTAGGCGTTGATGGGACCTCAAAATGATTAGATTTTGGGCCCCTGGCTGCTTATAGTGGTACTGCAGCGGAACTTTCGATTTGAATTTTCGATAAATGTTCCGTGTGCCAAGAACGATTTCATTTACATCTCATAACCTGACTTTTTCCTGTCAATAGCATCCTTACAAGAGTAAGACGTTGTCCACGATTGTCCTCATGTACAACGTAGGTCTTTTTCCTAGTGATGAAATGTATCTCTTGATAACTGTTACAGACCCTGCCGACCCTGCCGACCCTGAGCCCACTGGAGGTGTTTGGGCTGCACTGATGAACCTCCTTCCCTCGTTCCCGTCAGCCACTGCGGACAGGCCTGATGCCAATGTGGCCAAAACCACACATGATGAGACACCAGACCCTGGTGGCAGGAAGGTGAGCTGTCTACTAGTCATGTAGTATTGCAGTTGTATAATAACCTAGTAATGTAGCTGCGCAATAATCTAGTTATCTAGTCGTGTAGTAGTAGTAGTCATCTATCAACGTAGCTCGATGTAGTTATCCAGTAATCTAAATGTGTAGTCATCCTGTAAACTTTCTGGTGATCTAGTAACTAGTAACCATAGCTTTTTCTAGTAATCTAATTAATTTGCAGCCAATAATTCAGTGTTAGAAAATAACGAAGAATTGACACTTCGGATTATCTGGTATTCCCTCTCACCCACTGTAGACTCTACCGAGCCCGGTTGGAGCGTGCCCGCCTGGATTGGTCGCATTTTCCAGGCTAAGAAGCCAATGACAGCCCAGATTCGGGCCGGCGCCCCCGTGATCGTCGACGATCCTCCCTAATAGCGCCTCCTTGCGAACCGAAGGATCCTCAGCGATATCCTGCTGAGATGATGATATGATACCCTATCCTTGTAGTTTTGAAAATCAGGGACAGTATTGTTGTTAAGATACACATGTCCTGCAGATTGTTTCGGACGTCAAATGGAAAAAAATAAAATTTGGACACTATATTCTATCGCCAAATCCTCCATTCTGTAACGCAGATTAGCATCGATCTAATATCTGCTACGTATTTTTTATTCTACGGAATATCACTTTGCATTACGTAAATACTATCACTTTACCTTGTAAAATCATTTTCATTTTTACGAAGGTTCACTCCAGCAAGATCTGCATTACACAAAGGAATGCTATATCGTTAGGGTTTATTATGCATCTTTGCATAGCTCTATACTCGTACCTTCGTAGACTATAGTCAGGAATTATAACATCACGGCAAACGATATGAAATTTGGTTCAACATATTATTCCGTTGTGAAGAAACTCGATGTCAAAGTCGTTGACACAGTTTTGTATCATGTTCATGTTCTGTTCAGAATTTAGAGTATAGAAATAAAATGTTTTATGTTAGAAATTAGATGCTGTTATTTTATATATAGTCATTATTCAATATGTATGCATATGGGTCTTTTTTCACAAGTTGCAATTATGCTAGTCCTACAGGATGAATTTTGTGCGACGCGTCTCTGATACTGTGCCAAGAATGTCCTGAACACGCCCCGGGCCGTACATTTACTGTGATATATGACCAGGTCGACTTTGTGGGTCACAACACTTAACACTGTGTGGTGCGTGACGAACTGTGTACAGGTACACTGACGTGAGTCGGGCTGGTCCACAATTGACTACCAATGGATGGACAAGTCAAGTCGTCTTACTTTGGTCAATCATCGTCACCTTAATACAGAGATGTAACTTTACTGTGAAACGCGGTTAAGAAATAATCTAGCTGGTCCGTAGGCTAGATACGAACTTCAAGGACTTTGATTTCACCCCCCCCCCTCCCTCTTCGAAAATGGTACAATCGTTTTGGGCCGACCTCGGTGGGGTCTATAAAACGGATCGTTTTGGGCCGAGTTGATCGTCTAAACGGTCTTTGTGCAGAGCTACCCCTTCATTGCCCAGAAACCCGTGACAACTCTAGACCTTTTCAGACAGATAGCCAAGTATTTTCTTCAGAACCTCCCTTGAAGTTGAAGGCCTGCCTTACTGATCATTTTGACACCTGTTAAGTCGACTTGTCAAGATGTCTTTGCTCCTGAAAGTTGTCCGACAGCAGGGGAGTTTGTTCCACATTTGTGGCGCCGGAATTTCGGTGGCTCCGAGAACAACAACAACAGCGACCTTCAGACAGCAGAGCACCAGGGCAGAGGCAGAGGGTAGCGTCGCGTACGAGAGTTCCGCTCGGCCTTTCGAGGAGATCCCAGGGCCCAAGGGTCTACCCCTCATCGGGACGGCGTGGGACTACTCTCCTTTTGGTACGCCATAGTAAGGAAACACCGACCTAATTTTATGGGTGATCATGACATCCGCGCGCGCATTTATTTTCGCCTGTTCTCCAAAAAAAAAAGGATCACGTCCTCTGAGGCTCTGGCCTGGCTCTAGGCCTGGGTAGTCCATGGTAGTTAGTGACAATAGGGAGCCGGAGGTAACTATGGAGGATGGCACTCAGGCTACCGAAGCTCCACGACTCAAGATCTTAGTACATACGTACAGCGCCGCTTCATAAATTCCGCGAATAGCCAGCATTTGCCGGCTTGTCGTATACGTATACGTCGCTATGCACTGCCGCAAATTCACAATTCCTGTGGTTTAGTACCATTTTTGTTCTTGGTCGGAATTTGTTTTTTATTCGCCCGCGCGCACTAGTTTGGGGGTCTTCTGAGGATCCTTACATGACGTTTCAGTGGATTTAAGTGGCGTTCTGTTAGGAAGAAACGCCCAAATAATCGCAGCCTGTAACTTCCAGTGATTAACTTGTTAGTTGAGGTGAGGTGAGGACATGAGGTGAGGTGACGAGAGGTGAGGTGAGGTGAGGTGACGAGAGACATACTTTGTCGACAAATGTACCGATTTTGTATTCACGTAAAAGCCACAGGAATACCTTGATAGAAAATACTGAAAATCGAATGGAAATTACCTACACAATATATCAATGGTTTATTTCAATAACATTAATGTCACAAAACATTGCAGCCAAAACGGCTGAATTGCGTCAGGACAATTACAATAATTCGAATAGACGTGATTAAAACATACATGTATTTACATATAATAAACGGATTTAAAATGTTATGTACAGAATTTAAAAGATTGTCTGTTACTGCGACAAGATTTTTTTATTCGCCCGGCCGCGGGCACTAATTTGGGGGTCTTCAGAGGATGTCATCCATAAAATTAAGACGGTGTGGCCTTATACTTAGCTTGTTGTAACATACGTGCTCAGTCAGTTGAGTAACCAACCTACGTACCAACATAGACCAAGGAGGTTATATATCTATAACCGCGCCCCGTTTGCGTAGACTACTGTCTCTGGGGACAGACTGTTGCCAACGTGTGCACAGTATACAGAACTGTAGTAGGTTAAATTCCCTCATTGAGGCACCACGGCAGTTTATGTAGTTAATTGTCCGATGTACAAAGTACATACAACAGTCAACGCCATGTAATCTGATAACACTACCCAGGTTGTTGTGTTACCTATGATCACCTGAGTTTCGTTCATGATACCGGGTTGAGGGACGACCTGCATGTTACTGATTTTGTTATCATAAAAATACTGTCAATCATCATGAAATTGTACAAGCAATAATGTATGTCCATCTATTAGTTACATAGGATTTCGTATGGTATGACGTAGGGGACCTTCCCGGTGTGAGTGGTTCAAACCTTACAGTCTGGTCTCGGGGTTGACATCTTTGACGAGGTGATACTCACCTGTTATGTCAATCCTTCCACAAATGTGGTAAATCGTCATAAAATAGAATAGAATTTCGTAGAAGCTACATAGAATTATGATAACAGTCTTCATAAGCTCTCTGACCCAAAGTTCGTCGGAAGTCGGTACCGCCCCCCGTCCCCGACCCAGTGCTGACGTCACTCGTGAAGGAAAAGCACGTGCCAACATGACAGCTCGCGGGTCATCAGATAGCTGATGATGAAGACCGAGAGATTCGGTCGAAAATTCCGGCGAGTCAAATTCCTTTACTTTTAGAAGAGATTCCTTCCCATTATCATGAAATTGTATATTTTCCTATCCTATATACTATCAGGTCGGTTTCCAATGAAAACAAAGTTTATGGAGTCATTCAAAGAGAGAACAAAGACCTACGGGAGGATCTACCGGGAAAAACTCGGCCCGATTGACTTCGTGGTCATCAGCGATCCCAAGGAGATCGAGAAGGTGTTCCGCAATGAGGGCAGATATCCCAAGAGGCGGACTCTTTTCACCGTTAAAAAGTACCGTGAACTGAAGAAATTGCCGACTGGAATATTAAACCTGTAGGTGATACCGTTATGTACTTATGCTGTGTGTGTGTGCGTGCGTGCGTGCGTGCGTGTGTGTGTGTGTGTGTGTGTGTGTGCGTGTGTGCGTGCGTGTGCCTGCGTGTGTCACGGTGTGTGTGCGTGTGTCACGGTGTGTGTGCGTGTGTGTGTGCGTGTGTGTGTGTGTGCGCGCGCGTGTGTGCGTGCGTGTGCCTGCGTGTGTGCGTGTGTCACGGTGTGTGTGCGTGTATGTGTGTGTGTGTTTGTGTGTGTGCGTGCGTGTGTGTGTGCTCACGCGCTCATGTGTCTCTGTATGACTGTCTGTCTGTCTGTACTCATGTCAATCGCACTTTTATCCCCTTTTTTTTTTCAATATTTTGCAAAAGTGATTGAAAGCCAGACTTTACAGGAGGGCTCAGATTTGAGATGGGATTTAGATCCGCTTTGTTTCCAGAGAGGGAGAAGAGTGGCAGCGCGTGCGCAGCTCGGTGCAGAAGGACATGATGCGGCCCAAGACGGTCGGCGCGTACGCCCCGCTGCAGGATGACGTCATCAGGGACCTGGTTGACGTCATCCGGGCTCTGACAGGGAAGGACAACAGCGGAGGGCAAGTTCACAACTTCACCAACTACGCGTACAGATGGGCACTGGAAGGTGAGTAAGAAACTCAAAAGGACATCCAAAACGAAGAGCAACAATCTTGCACCTTGTAATGATGGATGAGATGATATCGTTGTTTATTTCGGGTTCGCAATTAAGTTTTACGCTAGATATATATAATGTGAGTTTGGTATCGTATGTTAGGCCAAGGGTCTTAAGTTGACCTGCATTTGAAAGAAAGAAGTCCTTCATTACAGCTTTGGGTTGTATTTTTGATTGCTCAACTGTTCCCATGGCTCTGGCCATGCTGGTCATTCAGCTTGAAGAAGACCAGAGGTTGGATCGAACATTCATGACAAGTTCCATTCGGTGGAGCAATTCTTAGTATGTTGGGAGGATTCCAACTCTTCGATGATTGATTGTGTTAAATTTTGCCCACCTAGCGATCAGCGTGGTTGTGCTGGACAAGCGGCTCGGGTGCCTGACCTTGGATGACCTTGAGCCGGGTTCTGACGCGCAGCTGATGATCGACGGGGTTCAAGCCTTATTCCAGGGGTTCGCGAAGCTGGAGCTGTCGACGGTCGGCCTGTACAGGTACATCAGCACCCCAACCTGGAGGAAGTTTGAGAAAGGAATCGACCAGTGGCACTAGTAAGTATTTGATTGTTTTTATTTCAACATTTAAACAAAGCAACACATGGTGGTGTTGCACTCAAGCGAAATAGCTTAAATTAACGTCACCGCTTGACATGAATAATGATTACAACACAAGATAAACAGGAACAGAATTTAACAATAAAGGTGATGTTATGTGAATACAGTATAAATCAGTAAAGAAATCACTTAGTTTCGGAGGTTGGAGCAAAAACTTTTTGGGAGCTAGTTTTCATGTACTCACGGCCTTCTTCTTACGCGCCAACATTCCGAAATTGGCCCATTTTATGGAATCGTATATTGATATTTGTGGTACACTGTTCTTCTGTGGCTGTCACTTGTCCGAGTGCGTCAGTTATATGGTGATATTTTTGACGTAAATATTGGCATGAAACTCTAGCGTCGCTGCCAAGTTGCTGAAGGAAAAGCTGGCTAGAAGCAAGACTGAAGAAGGAAAATCCACCGAGTCGGACACGGACTTTCTCCAGAGCCTCCTCTCTAGGGATGATGTCACGTTCGAGGAGGCAATGCTGATGGCAGTGGACCTCCTGGGTGGTGGGATCGACACGGTACGTTACACTAACAGGGACCCCGCCCGGGGCCCCGCCGGGTAGTTTACGAGGTTTTTTGTTTCTCATCCCATCTGGTTGGAGTCTTCTGTCTTCTATCATCTCATCTATCCCTAATCTAACTATTTGACCCTTTGGGCACCGCACACGTTTAACGATCTGACAACCAATTTTCTCTACCCTTTTCGCTTTTCTGTTCTTTGTAACGTTTAAGTGTTATTCTGGACCATTCTCTGATATCATCATTTGGTAATTAACGTACATTTTCTTTCTTATCTCATCTAGATAGTCTCATCTATCATTTGTCTAATCATTCAACCATTGAGGACCACTATTTTTCGTTGCTACTGTTTCATTTCATTTCATTTTTATTTATTTATCCAGGGGTAGCATATCGCCAATGGCGGTTTTCAACGCTCCCTGCACAGAACAATACATAATATAATAACAGAAAAAGTAAAAGAACTAACTTAGGTACAATCATAATCGTCGTGATAATAAAAGAAACAGGACAATTAATAACGTATATGAAAACAAACTAAATAAATATGACAAATGATGTATATTGATAATATTGATAATGGAACTGAATTTGCATATATCAATGTTTATGTACAAAATACAAAATAAACAAAGAAATCATATTAACTGCTGAGTGAAAAAAATGCGGTCTTAAAAACACAGAGAGTTTTTGCATTTCTGACATGAGGAGGAAGTGAGTTCCAGAGGACTGCACCGGAAAAAGAAAGCGATCTCTTTTTTTACTGCAAGCGAGCTTTTGGTAGCTGAAGTCCCCCTTTGTGCTTAGTCGGGTGTTGTGTGTGTGGGCACTGGCGGATGTTGTGAATAGTTGAGAGATGTGTGGAGGTGACATTCCATGAAATGTGTGGAGGTGACATTCCATGAAATCTCTCAACTATTCACAACATCCGCCAGTACCCACACACACAACACCCGACTGTAATCGATCTATTGATTTGTCTATTATTAATTTGATTATCTACTTATTTCAGACGGGGAATGCCCTGATGTTTAACCTCTTCTGCCTGGCGAAAAATCCCGAAGTCCAGGAGAAACTTTACCGTGAGATCACAGAGGTGGTTCCGCCTGGGCAGTCCATAGACGACAAGACGCTGAACAGGATGCGCTACCTCCGCGCTGTGGTGAAAGAAACTTTCAGGTAATATCAGCAAAGTTCTTTATTTACAGCCAACTACTCTCCAAGCATAGCCTGAGTGTGAGCCTTTTTAGCTTTCGCCCGCTCCCCACGATCCGCTACCGGAACTAAAGAGTACAACCAACCTCTTATTTAACTGGAGCTTTCGATGATTGTCGATCTGTCATTGCCCAGATAAAGATGACAGACGGTCAACGAAACGTCAACGAACTTTGCTATTCAATCATTCACCAACCTTATATGCCCCACTAGCCGTGGCGACTCTTGACTCGGGCTTACATTGCATTACCCTCAGGGTAATGCAATGTAAGCCCGAGTCAAGAGTCGCCACGGCTAATGCCCCACCAGCCTTTAGTGGCATAGCTATTAAGTCATATGCTATTTTGAAATATGCTTTTTGTAATTTTCATAATACATGTATAAGATATTTAATGCTACGTCAGAAAGATGTAAGTAGTTTGTCAGACAAGAGCAAGTGAAGGTTTTGTATTTGCTTTGTAAATGTTTCTATTATAGTTTTCTAATTTTTATTCGAAATCTTCCAGAGTTTATCCAAGTGTCAGCGCCAACATGAGAGAGTTGAACCGGGACATTGTGTTGTCGGGATATGTCGTTCCAGCAAAGGTATGAAGACATTACTTACTCAGTTATCCTCTTCATCACTTGCGAGACATAATGCCGAGACTTTTCCCTTCCATCTGGGTCTGTCCTCGGCCAGCTTTTTCACTGCTCGCCAGGCCTACATCTACATCTACATCTATGGGTTACTGAACAACACCCTCACGGGGCCTCACGTTCAGTTGCACGGCATATGCGGCCAGGTGGGGTGCTGGTGCTCATAAAACAAAATTTTTGTTTTATGAGCCGGAACATTTGGCCTGTCCCAGAAATGGAGAAATTACATCATGAAATTAAAGGTTTAACCCCTCTGTCAAGTGTTACGATTTGTGAAGTTCTTATATATAATTACTTTATTTGTAATAGACCGATCCGGAACATTTGATCTATTGTAAATTTCTTGCCGATTCTGTGCATATTCCTTTGTCCCAGCCTGAGGGGAGGCCATTTTGACCTCAAATCCAACCTTCTTGTCAAAGTTATGTCAACGAGTGTTCGGCTCAGACCGAAGAGGTCCCGGGTTCGAATCCTGCCCGATGCCATCAGCTGTCCCGATAGGTGGGGGGTACTTCTCAATGTCCGGGTAGAATTCTCGCATGGTTCCGCTGTATAGGATTTCTCATTTTTAATAAATTGAGACTTTAGAGGTTGGACTACCCTGCCAATGTGTGTTTTTCAAGGTCTAAAACTCAGGTTGACTTTCGACCACGTTGTTCTGACATGATTCCCTTATATAACATAAGAAAGTCAATTACTAGACTGTGCTAGTCTCCACCAGACTTCTTTTTCTATAGCCGGCAAGAGAGGCTTCTTGGCGGGGAAATGGAGCTTCTCTTGCCGGCTACCTTCTCTGGCCAATTAATACCCTTTTTAGACCGATTTCTACGATTTATTCACCCCGCAAAAGAAGTCTGGTGGAGACTAAGACTGTGCCCTGTTCCTCAGACACCGATCCTGATGGCCAATGACGTCATCAGCTCGCTTCCGGAATACTATCCGGAACCGGAATCCTTCAAGCCGGAAAGATGGCTCCGCGATGACGTCGCTTCAGGTGGCGTCCAACCGTTCGCGATGCTGCCGTTCGGATACGGGCCGAGGATGTGCATCGGTACGGGTATATTATTTGTATTATATGTATATGGACAGTTTAAATTCAGAATCGTTGTGTTTCATGTTCATTAACTGTACTTCAATTTCTTATGCTTGCTTTTGCGTGCATTTAAAAATCGAAAGCCTTAAAGTTAGTCATTTTCGATTTTCTATATTTTTTCAAGAAGAAAATGTCCAGGGAAATCCTTTGTGTCAGTCAGTGTTTCTTTCATCTTTTTAACGTTCACATGTCAGACGTAGAAGATGTTACTTGAACCACTACAGAATACCTAATATGAATGTTCTTACCTTTGGCTCGGTTCCTTCCCCAGGTCGGCGTTTTGCAGAACAGGAAGTACATCTCGGGTTAATCAGGGTAGGTTACTTTGTCCATAACCATTTAAGATACATTTCCGATTGACTTAAGGTTAAACCCGTTTGTCGATGAGGGGATAAAGCCTTAGAATTCTTATCAAATAATCTTCATGGCTTTTTAAATCTCTGCAAGGGGATTTTAGAGATGTGTTGACTCTTATTGTGATCTTTTCTGCATGGGGATCTCTCTCCTTAACAACTTTGCATGTATTACATGTATTCACGAAAGCATATCGTACATTCATACGCTTGCTCTGTTCCAGCCTTAGTTTCATTTCATTTTATGAATTTCAGAAACACTTGTTAACACTTCAGTTCAGCCTTTTGTGCTCGCAATCGGTGCATTTACTTAATACTTCTTCTTGATGTAATATAACGTTTAATAACATTGTAACTGCACCCCTGTTTATATGACACAGATTGTTCAGAGCTTCCACGTGGGCTGGTCTGGAGAAGACATGAAGCAGAAGAACAGATCAGTCATCAACGCACCGGACAGGGACAGCTTCGTGTTCCGGGAGAGGGCCGGCGCTGCATGAAACTTTCTTTTAATTTTAAAGATACCTTTATGTGAGGATGAGTATCATTTCGTAGTGGATTGTACGTTATATAGCAATTAGAGAGATTTCCTATATTCTTATGTAATAGATAAGTTCCCGGGCTTTGGACATTTAAATGAATCAGAAAAATTCATATTTCTTATGAAACTTGACAAACCATGTATCATTAGTTCTATATAATCGTACATCTATAAATGCGCCAAGAAGCGAGAAGAAGTCGAACAATGTAAATAGTAGATCACATCAGTATGTATAGTTTAAGTGCCATTGCTGTATCCTTTTCCTTGTCTATTCATGACCTGTACTTAGCTTGTTAGAGCACAAACGTACAATAAAGGTCTTTCCTTCATTGAATCATTCATTCATTCACCCATTAACACCCCTTTCACATGAAATCCACATCTGGGATCCAATCGCGATTGGATGCCGATGCGTTTACACTTGTCGGCTCATGCAATCGCGATTGTGTTCCTTCCGCACGGGAATTGCCGTCAATCGCGATTGACTCCACCTCCCAGAGATGGATTTGATTAATCTCGCTTCAATCGCGATTGGAGAGTTCAGATTCAGAAAAATCAATCGAAACCCAGTCTGAACGGGGTGTTAACTGTTTTTCAGAATACTGAACTTTATTTGCTTCTTGCCTCAAATGGGCTATGGCAACATACAGTATATATACATTAAAACCAAACGAACATATATACATATAACATAATAAAAAAATTAACCAAAATTAACTAAATACAATTTATCAATCAATCAATCAATCAATCAACCAATAAATGAATCAACTAAATAACATATTAAGGAAATTGTAAATCCTAAAGTAAGTACAGCACCATGTAATCAATCTTATAAACAAATAGTTAAAACAACAAGGGGAACACATTGCAACATAAATTTGTAACAATCAATACAACAAGAACAATTGCAATTGTGTAACGTAAATGTAGATCAACAATAAAAACAAGTAGTGGGAACAAATTGAAATACTAGTAACAGCATTTGTGCCTCGATCAGTTCTAATGCACTTCCAGGGCGCACGTTTGTTTCATTTTTTTTGTATTATCCTTCTATGTCTTCTATACAAATATCAGGTATTTCAAAACTATAGGCATACCCGTCCCTGTTCCATCTGACAAAAACGAGGTCTGTTCTATATATAGATCTACGCAGCTACAATAGCGACAATCAACAATGCGGTTCTAGAACGTCACAAACCAGTCGATTCGACGTTACCGTTGCGAACGGCAGTGTTTGTTTCTTCCTGCGCGAAAATTGTCATTTTCAGCGATAGAATGAGAAACCCCAAAGGATAACGATGATTGGCCTATTGAGATACATGCTCCACGTCTACCTGTTCCTCGTCGGAGCACACTTGTTCAACCGCTCGTGGGACTATGCGCTGGACAAGCAGTGGGTCCCTCGCGATGGCCTGGTGGTCAAGTATCTGAGTGATTTCAGTGAGTTCGAGACAACACCTGAGCAGCTCATCTACCCGGTAAGGACTATCAGCAGGGAACAAGAAATGTTTTCAGCCGTACTATTTCGGAGGGGTATCAGGGATATGCCTTAGTATAGTCAAGAAGGTTAAAACTCGTATTCAACCTTCTTGGTATAGTGGTGCCTGCATTACTTGATAGGAAACAGTACGTTGAAAGTTTGATTGTGGTACGACTACTTTATGGGAACAAACTCACGACACCGTAAAGCATATGAGTGAATAAGCTTACCCTTTATTCATGCTTAAAGATATCCGTAAAGAATGGCTGTTGTGCAGTGACAGCATTTCCAGAGATCCCAAGTCTTATCGAAGCGAACTCTTTCTCCCGTAGGAGGTTTTTCTACCTCGTACGGTCCTGTTTCCGCCTGAGACAGCCGAGTGAGGACTTCGACGTGCCGCCAGAGGAGCCGCCGCCTCCCTACATCCCCATCACCTGGCTTCAGCTGGCCAGGAACATCCGTGATTGGACCACGGACTACCTGCGAGAGGCGTCCTCTGAGGATCCGACTGGTGAGGGGAGACGTTATTCTTAGTCCTTACCCATTCAAACTTTTGAAAATAACTGTCTCTACACAACACATCATGAACTGGTACCATGTGACCCACAACCGTGCTCTTGAGTGTGCTTTTGTGCGTACGGAAAACATGAGTCACACGTGAGTAATCTACAAGCAGGTTTTCCTCCGCAGATTCTTACACCGGACCAGGACCTCGCCCAAAGAAATGGAGCGAGTTCTTCCAAGAAACCTACAAAAGTATGACGGCATGGATCTCATCGGACGATGAGAATGAACTTGGTTAGTACACAACTTTATTGTCACAACTTTTTGTACAGGTTATATATTGGCCTACCAATGATTTCATTGAACAAGTAATATTGTCTCCAAATCTTGTGTTTTCTCTTCAACTTTGGCCTTGCTTTGTCAGGCGTTTTAAGTTTTCATGCCTTTGACTTAAACCAAGGGTGATGGAAGCTCCTTGCTCAAACTCAAACAGAATGATTCTGATGTCTGTGAGAGTTCTCAAAATTATGCGTCTACATAGTGGTTACAAGTTTGTTGGGTCGGATGACACGTTCTGCCCGTTTATTCCTGCTCTATATGTTACCATGGTTACCACAGACGCCGCCAACGCCCCGCCCCGCCCAGTCACCAACACAGACCCCCCTGAGGTCACGTGGTCACACCTGTGGGGTGAGATATGCAAGAAGGCGTCCTCTGACGTCAGAGCTATCTTCTGGTCAGACACACCTGATGACGTAGTGACACAAGATGAAGCACCCAAGACTGGTACGTATTCGAACACAGAAGCCATTCTAACCACGTATCAAAGCCGATAGTTACCTTCGCCAAGAAGGTTATGTTTACCGTAGCGTTTGTGCGTGCGTGCGCTCGCGCGTGTGTGTGCGTTTGTATGTGTGTGTTTGTGTGGTTTAATTTAGCACGATACCTCCAGAAGCTTTACTTAGATTGATGTGAAACTTGGTAGGTGGGTAGGCGTTGATGGGACCTCAAAATGATTAGATTTTGGGCCCCTGGCTGCTTATAGTGGTACTGCAGCGGAACTTTCGATTTGAATTTTCGATAAATGTTCCGTGTGCCAAGAACGATTTCATTTACATCTCATAACCTGACTTTTTCCTGTCAATAGCATCCTTACAAGAGAGTAAGACGTTGTCCACGATTGTCCTCATGTACAGCGTAGGTCTTTTTCCTGATGATAAAATGTATCTCTTGATAACTGTTACAGACCCTGCCGACCCTGAGCCCACTGGAGGTGTTTGGGCTGCACTGATGAACCGCCTGCCCTCTTTCCCGTCAGCCAATGCGGACAGGCCTGATGCCAATGTGGCCAAGACCACACATGATGAGACACCAGACCCTGGTGGTCAGGAAGGTGAGCTGTCTACTAGTCATCTAGTATTGCAGTTGTATGATAACCTAGTAATGTAGCTGCGTAGTGATCTAGTTATCTAGTCGTGCAGTAGTAGTCATCTATCAACGTAGCTCGATGTAGTAATCTAAATGTGCAGTCATCCTGTAAAGTATCTGTGTAGTAGTATAGCTGTGTAGTCATCTAGTAGCTAGCTGTGTAGTCATCTAGTAATGTAGCTTTGTAGTCTATTAATCTAGTCATCTAGTAATCATGATAGTAGCTAGTCTTTTACTAATATTTTTTTAGAAATCTACGTGTAACTGGGGTGTGTAGTGAACTAGCAATTTAGCTGTGTAATGCTCTTGTCTTATCTAGCTGTGTCGTGATATCTAGTAATCTAACTTTTTGGTGATCTAGTAATCATAGCTTTTTTTTAGTAGTCTACTTAACTTGCAGCCAATAATTCAGTGTTAGAAAATAACGAAGAAATGACACTTGGATTATCTGGTATTCCCTCTCACCCACTGTAGACTCTACCGAGCCCGGTTGGAGCGTGCCCGCCTGGATTGGTCGCATTTTCCAGGCTAAGAAGCCAATGACAGCCCAGATTCGGGCCGACGCCCCCATGATCGTCGACGATCCTCCCTAATAGCGCCTCCTTGCGAACCGAAGGATCCTCAGCGATATCCAGCTGAGATGATGATATGATACTAGTACCTATCCTTGTAGTTTTGAGGATCAGGGACAGTTTTGTTGTTAAGATACACATGTCCTGCAGATTGTTTCGGACGTCAAATGGATTAAAACTCTCAGCCTACTCTCACAAAATTTGGACACTATATTCTATCGCCAAATCCTCCATTCTGTAACGCACATTAGCATCGATCTAATATCTGCTATTTTGATTCTACGGAATATCACTTTTAGTAGGATTTGCATTGCGTAAATACTATCACTTTACTTTGTAAAATCATTTTCATTTTTACGAAGGTTCACTCTAGCAAGATCTGCACTGACAAAGAAATACTATATCGTTAGGGTTTATTATGCATCTTTGCATAGCTCTATACTCGTACCTTCGTAGACTGTAGTCAGGAATTATAACATCACGGCAAACGATATGAAATTTGGTTCTACATATTATTCCGTTGTAAAGAAACTCGATGTCAAAGTCGTTGGCACAGTTTTGTAACATGTTCATGTTCTGTTCAGAATTCAGAGTATAGAAATAAAATGTTTTATGTTAGAAATTGGATGCTGTTATTTTACATATAGTCATTATTCAGTATGTATGCATATGGGTCTTTTTTTCACATGTTGCAATTATGCTAGTCCTACAGGATGAATTTTGTGCGACGCGTCTCTGATACTGTGCCAAGAATGTCCTGAACACGCCCGGGCCGTACATTTACTGTGATATATGACCAGGTCCTTGTGAGTCACAACACTTAAAACACTGTGTGGTGCGTGACGAACTGTGTACAGGTACACTGACGTGAGTCGGGCTGGTCCACAATTCACTACCAATGGATGGGCAAGTCAAGTCGTCTTACTTTGGTCAATCATTGCCACCTTAATTTACAGAGATGTAACTTTACTGTGAAACGCGGTTAAGAAATAATCTAGCTGGTCCGTAGGCCAGACACGAACTTCAAGGACTTTGATTTCACCCCCCCCCCCTCTTCGAAAATGGTACAATCGTTTTGGGTCTATAAAACGGATCGTTTTGGGCCGAGTTAATCGTCTAAACGGTCTTTGTGCAGAGCTACCCCTTCATTACCCAGAAACCCGTAACAACTCTAGACCCTTTCAGACAGATAGCCAAGTATTTTCTTCAGAACCTCCCTTGAAGGCCTATCTTACTAGGCTGATCATTTTGACACCTGTTAAGTCGACTTGTCAAGATGTCTTTGCTCCTGAAAGTTGTCCGACAGCAGGAGAGTTTGTTCCACATTTGTGGCGCCGGAATTTCGGTGGCTCCGAGAACAACAACAACAAGAATTCCGAGATTTCATACCTCCATGAAATATGGGCTTGATATGTAAATGTATATTTTTTCCTCTTTAATTATCCACCTCAGGTGGAAAACGTCTTTTTGCTTGTTTTGTTGACCTTTCCAAGGCATTTGATTCAATCTGGCATGAAGGTTTGTTCTACAAACTTCTATCTAATAATATTTCTGGAAATTTTTTCAACATAATCAAAAGTTTATACAGCCAATCAGAAGCGCAGGTAAAAACTAGCGCAGGTTTAACTGAAAGTTTCCCCGTTGAAATTGGTGTCCGGCAGGGCTGCGTGCTCAGCCCCTGCTTATTTAACATGTATATAAGTGATGCCATAAACCATCTTAACACAGAATACTTAGATGCTCCTGTGTTGAATTCTTCAAAAGTGACAAGCTTATTTTATGCAGATGACATCGTGCTGTTGTCAGAAAGTCCACAGGGATTACAACAAGCGATTGATATACTTGGGCAGTACTGTCAAAAATGGAAATTATCTATCAACCTTACAAAAACGAAGATTGTAATATTCAACAAAAAAGGT